ATGCAGCAGGACCTCGAGGTGAGCATCACTGCTGCCTGGACAGTGCTCAAAGGACAGCTGGGCTGAGGAGACCTGCTCAAATGGGGCAGACGACTTTGGGAGAGAAGCGCTGGAGTTCCCTGTAGACACCGTTATCTGAGGTACTTTCTGGAGGCAGGACCGATCTTCCTTGGCATTGGCTGGCATTTCTGTCAACAAATGAGAGGGGTTTGAGGTGCTCTGGCAGTGCCCACCACTGCTGGGCACAGGGGCACCACCACAGCCCCCCAGCTGGGCTCTTGGGCGTGCCTACAGAGACCTGCTCCCCACTCAATCCCCTTGGCATTGCTCACCCACCTTCCCTGTGGGAAGCCTTGCGTGTTCCTGCTTTCTGACCTCAACTCCCCTGGTCTCGGACACAGTTCCCAGGACATGAGCACTGGCAGCTGTCCCCACAGGGCTGGGCACAGGCCTGGCCATGGGAAAGGGCACAGGCAGCACTTTGCACAGGGGAGGACACTACGCGGGAGATGGCACTGGCAGCACTGGTAAGGGTGGGGGACACTGGGGGCTCTGCACAGGGAGGGTGCTGGCAGTGCTGTGCACAGGGCTGCCACCCTGCCATTCCTTCTCTCTGTGCAATCTGCATAGGCGATAACCAAGCCCAGACCACCCCACCAGGTCTGCACATGCAGGAGCAGGCTTTGGGAGGGCCAATACACTTTCAGATTCAATCTCAGTGGCTGCTGGCACAGGGAAGCCAAATGAAAGCTGTACTCAATTCAGGCAGCTCTGCTGGGGTGCACAGAGTGCACTGAGCCCCACGGACTGACGCTGGCTTGGAGGCGAAGCCCTGGAGGGGAACAGGGAAGCAGTGCATACCTCCGCTCTCAATCAGTACGTCCAGGAGCTCATCCATCTGCTGACTTCGTGTCATCTGCTGCAGCAAACGACAAAGAGGAGAGTAGAGGGCGTTAGGAGGTGAGTTCCTCCGGCCACAAGCCAGGTAGGTGGCTCTAGACCCCACAACCAGGTTTCTCCCATACAGGAGAGATGCCACGCCAACACAGGACTGGCATGGCTTTCAGGTGAGCACTGCAGGGCCCTGGGACAAGCATGGCGGATCCAGGGAGCACGGTGCCAGGTTCCCCCCACCCTGCTGCCAACCCTCTGTTCAGTGGCCACCACAGACTGCCTCTTCCCAGAGCCATCAGGACACACTGACTTTTCAGACCCAGCACCTTGCACTGGCATGTCCCTCCTTGCACTCCCTGCAGCTCCCTGGGGGAAATGCATCATCATCCTCCTCTCCCTGACTGGAGACTGGAAGGTCTTTCTGCATGCCTCTCTGCCAGCCAGCATAAGCCCATTTTTATCACTGCCAACGGCATCACTCCATTTTCCTAAAGGCACCATCATGACCGGCACTGAGGCTGCTGACAGACTCTCTCAAGAAGGGGTTCACCGGTGATGGAGACAGTCCTCCTCGTGGGAACAGCGCTCCAGGGTAAAGCCGAGGGAGGCAGATGGCATGGAGCAGGGCACTTTGCTCATGGGCTAAAGAGGGAAGGTGACTTGGGAATGCTCAAGTGTCTGTTTCTCACATAGCACTGAGCACCCCAAAGAAGAGCACACCAGAGTCCTGGGGTATTTGTGTGGGGTGTCAGGACCCCAGGGTGGACTGGCACCTTGCATCAGCACAGAAGACGCTATCCCATCCCCATGGTGTCTGACTGCTTGTGGCAGACATTCAGTGACTAACTCTTCAAGAAAAGCCCATTCCTTGTGGAAATAGGCCTGTTCTACCCAAAGACCCCTTAACAGGTTGTAACTCCTGCAGATGAGTTACATTAACCTCAAAAGAACACCCTGTGCAGCCCTAGCCCTGTAGAAAATAAAAATCATGCAGTTACCTGCTTTACTGCATCCTCATAGGGTGGAGGCTGCTTTACCTCTGAGAGGATTGGGCTTGACTTAGAAAAACTTGGGGATGGAATAGAAAACTTTTGACCTGCCTGCGTAGCCATCTGCGTGGGGGAAATACAGGGAAACGGAGTCAATGCATGGGCAGGCACGGCGGGAGGCCCAGCTGTCTTTCTCCTGTTGAAACCAGAGTGGTGCCAGGGAAACTAATGATTTTGTGGGTCAGATCAGCTCAAACAAGGTGCCTGGCCTCTGGGCAGGAGAGAGGGAGGTAAAGTAGCTCCATCAGCCTAGCTCTGAGATCCAGAGCCAGGCTGACCTCTGGTTGCTACCAGAGCACAGGTGTGATGCCGCAGAGCATCCTGGTGCTCGGTCTGGCCGTGAATGTGCAGAGCAAGGAGAGAGAAATGGGCTGCTGGTGGTTGGCTGCCGGCAGGCAG